CCGAACTGGAGAAGGAACGGGACGCCAAAGGAGGCGGCAGAGCTGGGGGGAAAGTTACTTTTTCCGGCTGGGGAAAAGTTACTTTTTTTCCAGCCAGTTCTCCCGGGATCTTCCAGCCCGATTTCTATGCTGGCGGGATTCCCGTGGGAACGAAAGTTCAAAAAGTTACTTTCCTAAGCTGGCGCCCCCAGCTTTTTTTTTCAGTGAGTTTGACTTTGAAAGGCAGCACCCAAAAAATCCAAATAAAGGGTCGCCAAGTGGCATGCTTTCCTCAAACGGGCACCTGCCCAATGCGCTGGACTCCGGCTCCCATTCTCCACCAGCCCACGGAGGTGCGAGCTGGGGATGATGGGGGTTGTAATCTATCACATGCAGAAGGCACCTTGAAAGGCAACACCGACCGGTTTCCCATAGATAAACACGCTTCTGTTTACAACCCTCCGGGGGGGGGCACCCAAAAAATCCAAATAAACGCTCGCCAAGTAGCATGCTTTCCTCAAACGGGCAGCTGCCCAATGCGCTGGACTCCGGCTCCCATTCTCCACCAGCCCACGGAGGTGCGAGCTGGGGATGATGGGGGTTGTAATCTATCACATGCAGAAGGCACCGGTTTGGGAAAGGCTGCTGTTGAAACGCGACTCAACAGGTGCAAGAACTTGTCTTTGTTATTTAAAAAAAGGAGGCGGAGGGAGAGTAATCCAAATGTAACGCTTCAAGACTAAACAGTAAAACAGAAGGGAAGTCTAGAACATTTTTATTGGTGCAGAAGGAGGAGGGGGATCTGTGGGGTTTGTACAGGAGGAGCCCCTTATTTGCAGGATCCGTATCCACTGATTCACTTATTCACGCCCTAAAAATATTAAAAACTCCCCAAAATAGATATTTCTAACGTTGAAGTTGCTAGAATTGGTTACTAGAGGGAGCAAAAGACTATGGCGTATATAGCTTTCACTCTTCTAATAGCATTTGCTATAATCCACGTTTTTCAGTATCCGCGGGGGGGGTCTTGGAACCGAGCCCTCGTGTAACACCAAACAGGACCTCCGAGGTCCTCCTGTAACACCAAACAGCATGAATGTATTTTATTGAAACTGGGTTTCCTGCACTGTC